GACACAATTCTCCACAACAACTGATTTTTTTCCCTGCTACACCCGGCTAAGCTGCTTCGCTTCTTCTTCTTGTTCTTCTTGACTACTGGTGGTTGGCTTTGGTCGCAGTACCGCCACCTTCTGCTCTGGAGTGTAAACGCTTCGCCTATGAGAAAAAAGAGCAGCGCATGAACCGAACGAAACACGCGAATCAAACCGAGACAGTCGAACCGAACGATTCTGACGGTTTTCATAAATCGTCCCATCCCTAATAAATAAATATATATATATATATATGAGATAATCATGGATACTTCTTGATGGCATTAAAATTATTTCTAATATCATTAAAAAGCATTAAATTAGAGTTACTAATTCCTGTATAAACCCTGTAAATGTAAATGAGTATTTCCAGAAAACATGACACTTCTCGAAACGTTTCAATCGATTATTCATGCTTTTGTATTCACTTCATGTAAATGGCACCAGTTTATCATCTTAAGGCACTTTAGAGTTAATTTAATCCAGTCATAGATTAATTAAAAGTTATGTAAGGAAATCCGGCTGGTTTATTGAGTCGTTGACTTTATAGAATTCCATTAATCGGAATGAACAATTAATAAAACTGCGCTTAGATTGCCTGCAATGTGAAGTTATAATATATTGAGCAGAAAATGTCCAAGACATTGGCTAATGATCAGTTTATGTCCAATCACATTATGCTGCTTAGGTTAACAAACTGTAAAGTTAACAGAAATCTGTATTTAGGCCCAGTGTGGTTCCTGCCTTTTGGTCACAGCAAACAAATAATTTCATAAAATGAACAAATAGAAAGTTTCAGATGTTATATTAATAAAATGCTCTTAAGCTTAATATTTGCCTGCATTAGGAATTTAGATTTGAGACCCTTTTTCCCCATATAGTGGAAGGATTGCTTCTAAATAACGCAACTTTGAATACATTTTTAGCTGTTCACTATCATTTTTGTCTGTAGGTGTTTAGATAAAAGACTTTGGGCCCGGATTGACCTGAGCATCAAGCGCACTGTGACCCCTCAGGCCCTCAAAGGCATCATTAAGAGACAGCCCGTCACGCTCGACCTCTCTTGGACAAACATCTCCAAAAAGCAGCTCAACTGGCTGATTGGCCGCCTGCCTGGTACGACCAAGCTCATGTTATACAATTGATGTTTAATTTAATGGAGAGAAAAAAAAATCTAACTTTTACCTGAAGTGGTGCTGCACTGTAAAAACGGATCCGAACTATTGTTTTCCAGGGCTAAAGGATTTGATGCTGTCCGGTTGTTCCTGGTCGTCTATTTCAGCTCTCTGCTCCACTGGGTGCCCGCTCCTCCGCTCTCTGGACCTGCGTAATGCTTACGGCGTCAAAGATGCCCAGATCAGGGATTTAGTCATACCTCCAGGTAAATAGAGGATCCAGATTTCAGCTATTGGGTTTAAGCAGCGGTTGGATATTTATTTTCTGTTGACTTTCACCAGGCTGTGATAACCGCAGTCAGCTGAGGAACATGCAGTGTTTGCGGCTTGCAGGTCTGGACATCGGCGACTCCACCCTGCGACTGATAATTCGCCACATGCCCCACTTAACAAAACTGGATCTTTCCCACTGCAACAGCGTCACCGACCACTCCATCAACCTGCTGACCGCGGTCGGCTCATCCACCCGAAACACGCTGACAGAACTCACCCTAGCAGGTGAGCCATGCTGAGAAAGGAAAGACTCCCTGTTTTTTTATTTCATCACTCTTACCATTTCCCTTCATCCTCCTCAGGTTGCAGCAAGCTGACGGACACGTGTTTGAAATATCTCCGCCCCCTGTCTTGCATCTCTTTGCTTGACCTGCGAGGCTGCAAGGGAGTTTCCAGAAAGGCTTGCGAGGCCTTCATCTCCGAGCTGTCAGTCAACACACTCTACTGCCTATCGGATGAGAAACTGATCCAGCGGATATCCTAGTGGCCTGCCTTCTTTTGCTGCTGGGATGATTTGAGATGCAAAAAGCAGAGGGTGTGGATCTTGACCAGACTCTGACAGAGGAAGCTCGCATGCACAAGGGGTGGGGTCTGAACTGGAGGGCCTTCTTACTTCACTGGTGTTTGGTAAAAAGTGTTGTTAAAGCCAGATCAATATGTCTTACTTTTATTTTCTGTGTTCCTACAGACACTCAGGAGTCTTCTCGCTTTTCATTAGATTTTTGTTTTCTTCAGAAGCATATACTTTTTCATTAACTGGAATGGGAGAATGGTTCGCTAGTTCACTTTAAACTGTGGGTTTCCACCGCCTCATTTCACCAGTGTCGACTCCTATCACAAGCTCCTGCCTTTCAGAATAAGATGAGCAAAGCCTTTAAGTTGTATCTTTGGGATATAAAAATGTATCTATTATCATTTTCAATTTCAGTTACATTTGAATGCTTCTAATGGATTAAGTAGTCAGCTTTCGGTTCATGCACAACATAGCTTGGATTTTCTTTTTAACTTTTAAAGTAAAGTCAAAACTACTGGACTGACTTGTGTTTACCATTGTGCATTCAGCTTTGTAATTAAGACATACTGCAGCAGTACATCAGTGGTTTACACTGTCAGGTTAAAAAAAAAAAAAAAAAGGTACAAAGACTGTGTGAATAGGCAATCAAAATAGCAACAAGACCTCACCCCCGGATAAGGGCAGGTTGTGGAGGATAAGCCAAGGATAAGGTGTCAGATAAATGGTGCATTTCAAAGCAGTTCAACTTCAGGTGCTATTATTTTGAAAGTCGTATTGCTTTGTTTTTGTATAGACATTTAAAGCAAAACTATTGTAGATGAAACTACTCCCCACTCCTCTTTGATACAATTTCTTTTATATATATATATATATATATATA